GCTCCACAATCAGAAAAATTATTAAATTTAAAAAGAGGCTGGGAAATGTGCGAATACAATAACGACTGGGTTTGTTATGAGGATGAGAAAAATATCCGGAAAACCGATGTATATTAATTTTTATTTAAACTTTGCAAGCTGAGCTTGGTACTCACAAAACCAACATCAAATAATAGGAAAAAGTAAAAAGAAGGAAACTCAAGGCACACGTTGCATTAATGAAACTTTGGACGAAAGGCTGAACATTAAAAAACCATCTGACAAATTGGTATCATCTTCTAAAGATCATGGTGGAGCTTCAAAGAAAACCACCAATAGACAATTTAAAAACCAAATTGGTAACATTGATAATAAGGAGAATGAGGAGGATGGTAGTGAAACTGAAGAAGTTAACGAAGTAAGTAACTTGTAACAAAACAAAAAGTGTTTGTAAATTATTGTTCCTTTTCATTATGCAGATAAGGTAAAAAAATACTGATTAATATTTTAACAAATTAAGTAAAGGCCAAACGTCTTGCAACCGAAGAACCAACCCGAATGAATATAATACTTCGTATCCGTCAAGAAGATGGTGCTTCAATCAAGAAAAAGGAGCCTTCAACCAATATAACCAAGTACAATATAGAAGAGTCAATACCTGTCGAGGAATGCGAAGAAATGGATTATGTAAAAACAATAAAGTAACGTCAGCATATTTCAATTGTAATTTTTTGATTTAGCAAAATAGAACACCCATCCAATCTACAAATGCCAATGATAATGGCATAAACGAAGATAAATTAGAAATTCCTGATTTGACCGAATTTGATAGTAACCTGGATCCTAAAAAAATGTGGAGGTTAAAGAGTGGTACCGTTGTAGAAAAAGTGATATATGAATATGCACGAAACTTGACATATGAATCGTGCCTGCACTCATTCATGATGCTGACAGTCCTTATTTAGGGGTTAAAGCGGAGTATAATCACGTGACATCTAACCAATCAAATGATAGAATTTTGATGATCTCCGGCGAAGCAAAACAAGAAATAAAAACGAAAAACCTGAAAAATACAAAAAACGGCAGTCTAAACCTGCCTCAGGTAGGTTAATTGAAAATGTCGGGAAGGCAATTTTGCTTATATATAACTACCTAAAACCTAACCTAACCCCAATATAAGATGACCCTAACCCTAATATTAATTCAATAAAATATATATTATAAGAATCTGCTCCGCTTTAGATGTCCCCATTTCAGTCAGGGATATTTCCATATATGGTATTTCCTGATATAGAAATGATATGCGATGTACAACGCTACCGGGATTTTCTAGAATCAAATAATTAAACTAAATCTGATTGGCTAAAATTTTTTTATAAATGCGAAAATCGAATGAAGCGAAACTTTATAGTTTTTATAACGGCCATAACGGCTGAATTATTACTGATTTGCGAATTACTATAGTTTGACTAGTATAGTTTATATGAATTGCCGGTAAAACGTTTTGTATAGACATAAGAATGAAGAAAATATCAAAAAGTTAAGTGTCGACGTGTGCATTTTCCCTTTTTTTTTTTAATGCCTTGTATTAAACGATTTTTTTAAGGTCAGATCAACGTAAATTATTTTCTATCTTATTTTCGTCGTCTTTTTCCTTTCTTTTTAGAAACAATTCTAGAAAGTATAGATAAGGTTATAGGCTACTTCTAAAAATTTAGTTACAGAACGTTCCAAAAAAAAAAAAACTAAAAAAATTTTCTAATTCTGCTCAAATC